ACATGGACGATGTACTCTCGGGCGCGGATACACTGGAAAAGGCTCTGACTCTCCGGCGTCAACTCTCGGAGCTCTGTATGGCGGGCGGCTTTCCGCTCCGCAAATGGTCGGCCAACGAGGAGTTCTTGCTGACGGACGTTCCAGCGGAGCACAGGATGCAGCGCGAGCTCCGCTCTTGGCGACCGCAAGAGTCGCATGCCACTCTCGGCCTTCAATGGCATCCCTGCCTCGACAGCTTCTCCTTTGCTACGAAGACGAGTCTAGTGACGTCTTTCACGAAGAGGTCGGTGCTGTCCCTCACTGTCCGGCTTTTCGATCCGCTCGGTTGGCTGGCGCCGGTGGTAGTGAGTGCAAAGATCTTGTTCCAGGCTACCTGGCTAAGAGGACTGGACTGGGATGACCCCTTGAGCGAGACTGACGCTCTGCAGTGGAAGACTTACCAGGCGGAGCTCCCATTGCTGGAGCAAATTAGAGTCCCTCGGAGAATATATCCAGGCGCCAGAGGACTCGGCGTCGAACTTCATGGGTTTGCCGATGCCTCCGAGAAAGCCTATGCTGCCGTGGTTTACTTGCGAGCACAGGCGCAGGACGGATCATGGCTGGTCACCTTGCTCGCGGCAAAGACCAAGGTCGCCCCTCTCAAAACCGTGGCTCTGCCTCGACTTGAGCTCGATGCTGCTGCGCTGCTCGCGCGGCTTGCTGCCCACACGAAGGTCACGCTCAAACTGCCCGAGGTGCCTCTTTATCTCTGGTCGGACGCCATGGTGGCCCTGGGCTGGATCCGAGGGCACCCTACTCGATGGAAGACCTACATATGTGGCCAATAGGGTATCAGCAATTCAAACGGCGGTCCCGGAGGCGCTGTGGCATCATGTGCCTGGCCGGGACAATCCAGCGGACTGTGCCTCTCGAGGTATCTCTCCCGGCGAGTTAGGAAATCATCCTCTCTGGTGGTACGGGCCGCCTTGGCTCAAGGAGGACTCTTCAGCGTGGCCCGCTACCGGAGCCGTGTCGGAGACGGAGGAGCTTCCCAAAGAGCGGGTGCGAGTCCACGCGGTGGTGCCTGTCGAGTCACCAATC